TCAATTGATGAGAGTATATCTTATTTTTAACCTGATCTGATAATTAAAGTCCTGCGGAACAGTCTCGAATCCCGTTTGTTCCATCCCGTGGGACAGCGACGTACCCAAGGATTTTTTTAAGGGGGATCGCCATAGAAAAAAGATAATTTTTAAGTTGGGAAAAATAATAAACCCGTACCTCCCTTCAGGTATTTAAACATGTTCGGGAGGATCGGTCCCACTATTCCCCCTGAATACGTCGCTGCCGTGGGATGATATAAAAATATCTTAATATTTCAAATAAATAATAGAAATAAGAACAAATAAAGAACTATGCTACTACTTGTACAAAGTCGGAGTAGAAAAAGCAGCTGATTGCATGACCTCAAACAAAAATTTTGGAATGTGCGTTCCTATACAACATCTGCTCTTTCTAAACATCAGACTTCCATAGAGGAAATCATAATACATTCAACTATTTAGAGTGAGCTGACAAATTAAGAGATAATATATTGCCATGTAGGAAAACTTTTGACATAATCTCTTCCTTTTATTGCTGTTTATGAAAGAAATTAAATAGTTTACTTTTCTATATAAAGTAAAAATAAAAAAACTGTACTATTACTATGAAAGTATCTGTACAAAAACAATTTTGATTTTTCACATAGAACAATGATAATATGATATCAATTGTTTCATGTATACATATCGTGTTAATACAATAAAAAGTTAAAACTATTTACTTTACCACTACGTTATGAATGACCATTTTGAAATTTTCTTGTTGTATATATATATATCAGATTCGACTAAAATAAAATAATAACATGGTACATTTTAATAAGTCTACTTATTTGTAATTGAAGATGACGAACACAAAATAATACATAATAAAACAATTTATCATTCGACAAAATGATTTCGTTAATAATTTTTAGATAATTAATAAATCAGATATAGTCAAAGTGTGATAATTGAATTTAACTTTTCTGTGATGTTGGAAAATTTTTTTTTGTTGGATGAAGATCCTAATGAATAATATGCGATGCAGAAGTCTTGGAAAAAATTTTGAAACTATCATACCATATTGTTGAGTTCTAAATCAAAAAAACAAATTTTTTTTCTTTTGTTAGAAAAAATAAATGTTTAAATTACAAATTTTCTACCAGACATATCTTTCCGGAACAAAACTGACGAAGAGAAAACTATCGAGCAACAACACTTTTTATACTCTGTATATTTTTTTTTAAATCAGAAAAGAAATGAAAAAAAACATTTTTAATATTAATGTTTTGTAGCGTATAAAATGCGCTTCTGAATGATGTATAGGAAATTAAATATGCTCTCGGCTTTTACATAAAAAAAAAAAAAAGAAGCTTTTTCTAAAAAAGAACTGAGTATGTTAGGTTTTTCCATTATCTGCCCACTTTGTAATAGTAAAAAACAAATGTTTTTTTTGAATTATGTTCTATGAATTGAAATATTTTAAAATTAAATAATACAAAACAAAAAAAGAATTCAGTTCATATATAATTTCTGAAGATAGTAATTGATGCTCTTTTAAACTGTAAAAGATCATATTTTATAAAAATTTAATTTATCAAACTTTTTTTTTCTTTTATTTAAAAAGTCAAAGAAATATCTAACAAATTTTATTAAAACTGACATTGATAGAGTTTTTGATGGTCTACATTTTTTAGGTATTTTTTGATTCATTCATATAGTTCAAAAGAATTTACAAATGCGTACTTGTTAAGTTAAAAAACGTTATAAGAATTTCTTTTTGAAGGTGCTTGTCTTTGAACTTTTTCTTCTCGTCAAGTTTGTTCTAGAAAGATATGTCTAGTTCAGACATTGCTCATTCTAATAAAAAAAAAAGAAATTTTCTTGCTTCAGAAGTCGGCAATATTATATAATAGAGTTTGACACTTTTTTCAAAGATTTATGCATCATATATTAATATGTTTGATTAGATATAAGCTTTTTTATATGAATATCACAATGTATGCTAACAAGTTTTTAATAGGTGTGTAGTATTAGTTTTAAGACGATTGCTAATACTTAAGCATTAGTTTTTTTTTTGTAATACTAATACAATACCTACAATGATGACTGAGCTTTCTGACGAAAAATTAGAAAATTGCGTGTATTGCTAATTATTCCGCTTTCTTGATTCTGATGATATTAACGCATACTGAAAACAATGAAATATGATTTAGTTTGATTCAATAAATGAAAATTTGATTACTATTTCAATAGAACTTTAATGAAGTATATTATATATTCTTTTGAATTAACGCGACATATTTTTTTTTTATAATAAAGAAATTTTGTTTTTACAATAAGATTCTAATTTATTCGAAGATAGAAAATAGGAAAGTACTATAGACAATAATTTTTTTCAAGTGTTTTGTTTTTTATAAAATAATTTATCATTTAAATGCTTTTTTTCTATTTGATAAGATATGAAGAATAAAAGTAACAAAGTCTAAAGGTCTTGTAGTGCAGAAATAAAAATATAAGTCATTCCGATGTCTATTGTACCGGTTGACCGTCAAAAATGGCCTTGTTTATTTCTCAGTTCCTGTTCAGTCAAATTGCTCGAAATTAATACCAAAATATCTGTCAGTCATGCTCTACTTATGCTACTAAAATCAGGTTTCTATTTTATTTTCGTTTACGAAAAATGCTAAAAATAAACAATTTTTTTGATCTTTTTGATGCATTTTTATGATGATTCCAGGTTGGATGCTTTTTTTATATCATTTTTGAATGCTCTATCTACTTATAATCTTATTTTTCTTCCAGCTATTGTCATTGCACAGAAATTTGACATTCTGTCAATGGTTCCTGGAAACAACAAAAAAGTGTCCCACTCCCTTTTAAGCCTAATGTGAATCCAATAAAGACTTTGAGTCAAATCTGTTTCCATAAAAAGATTCATCAATTTGAGCACTATCGATTAGTGAAAATCAAAAGTTATTAACATTTTTTGTTTTTGAATAATTTACATCTTAGTGGTGTCAATTGGCATGTGACACATAATTTGTCCCATTCCTTGACCAAACTACAAGGAGCTAAGAGCTGATTTTTTTAAACACAAGCGTCAATTGGTGAGCACAAATTATGTTGTAAATATCAAGACTCTAACTTATTTCTGAACAAAATTATTAAAAAACTACGATGATTTGGTCAATTCTCTAGTTAGTACTACCCTTCTGTCTGACTAAAAATTTAAAAAAGAAATTATCTCAAACTGATAGTTTTTGTGCTCCTTCTGGATGCATAACTCAAAATGAAATCTTCTGAAACCTATAGGATCATGTTAATACCTGAATGTCACTAGTTTTCACTCAAATAAGACAATAGATCGTATAATAAGTTCCTAGAAAGATTTCGGTCTCTAAATCAGACAAAATAAAAGACTGGTAGTTTTATACTTCGAAATATTCTCTATCAGATGATGATACTTTTAAATGTAGCTGTTTACTTTTTTTTTCGATTACTTTTGCAAAAAAAAATAGTACAATGGATACCAGAAATGACTCATATACATTCAATTAAAAAGAATGATGTTTTTAAAGATTTTTATATTAGAGATGTGCATCCAATACAATGTGTACTGTATCGGTGATAGTGCGAACAAACATACAACATAGAAAGTTTGATTTATTTATTGTTGGTCGCTCTACGCTCGTCTTTCTTCTTATCCATCCATCGAATAGCTACGCTTATATCAAACTCTATTGTTAGAAATTCTTTAAAAAAAAAAAAAATTTACATCAAAACGATGAACATTAACATGGCATCCTTCAGATAATCAGCTTGGTCTTTTCGGAAGAGAAAATCTAGATAAAACAGTTGATTTTGATACTCATTTATTCAATTTATAAATAAAATTGTCACCAATGTTGATTACAAATTATCCTGATAGCAAATTGATCTAACTTAAAATTTAGTAAATTTCACTATAACAAATAATATAGTAATTTAAATTAGTCTTAAATTCAACAGGCTGAATATTTAAAAATGAAACAATATTATTTAAGAAAACATCTTGAAAACAAATTGTACTGCGTAAAATATAAAACAGCATGTATATTGAAAGTATCATATATTCAATATGTTTTACTCCTACTCGATGCATCTACTATTAAAACACTTGTTTATAATGACATATGCATGAATCAACAAATGAATATCGAACTTGAAATTCATCAGTGCACTTAAGCTAAAACTCATTTTGAAAAAGCTATTATCAATAGTATATGAAATATATCACTCTAATAGGTTATTTATGATCTAAAACATTCCTGACTAAAGTTAGTTTTAGTGACATATCACGTATTCTCAAGTATGATATTTACCTTTTTTAAAAATAAAATATCTAGATGAAGTATATTGTCTGTGATTTAATATATTTCTTTTTCTGATGCTTTCATAAAAATCTAGATGTCGCTTCCTTAAGTTCATGTGACATAGTTTCGTATTCGTAACAAATTTTATATCACGAAATTATTGATTAGTACTTATTTATCATAATTAAATCATTTTCGTTCATGTAAATACTTATATATTTTGATTAATAATGCCATCTATCGTAATATTTATATATTACTAAATAGAAATGTGAAGATTGTTCATCTATAATTCGAAAATATATTTTATAAATTATTAAAGTTTTTAATTAGTCTCAAATTTGAAAGTATTTTTTAATCATCAATCATATAAAATTGAGATGATTCATGTGCCAATCACTGTAATCAATCGAATAAACGATTGAAAAACGAAAATAATGAAATGATTAAGGTCACGTATATTGAAAACGATGGATAAATTTGTTAGAAAAGTAAATTCATATGTTCTCTTTTTCTTTTAATTTTATTATTAAAACTAATCATAGGATATATTAACACATCATTTTTTTTTACTAATCAGGTAGCTTGCTTCATCAATTGCTCATATAGAAAAAAACAATTACTTTTTTTTATTATCAGAAAATAATTTAATTTCAAAATAGAATGAATTCTAATAGTGGTGAACATCAAGTTCTAAATATAAATCATAATAAATTATCAAATATTAGCAATACAACTAGAGAAAATCAACCAATTTTACATTCACAATCAATTAATAATAATAATAATATGGATTTCGTAAATAATAATCATATCTCAACGTATAATACAAATATAACATATGATCCGGAATATGATGAGATTATTAATCAAGCTGAAAGAGCTATTGAAGGTGGAATATTACCAGTAAGAATAGCAGCTGGTTCATCTGGTTCTTATTTTGTTCGAAATCTTGAAGGCGTATGTCTTAGTTTTATTCAATACATAATAAAAATCTTCATTTTGATAGAAAAATATTGGAGTATTTAAACCAAAAGATGAAGAACCATACGGTCGTTTTAATCCGAAATGGTCTAAATGGTTCGTTTGTTTCCTATGAAATCAAATCTATTCAATCCTATGTGAAATTGTAGGCTTCAAAGAACTCTATGTCCTTGTTGTTTTGGTCGAGGTTGTTTAATTCATAATCAAGGTTATTTATCAGAAGCTGGTGCTAGTATAATTGATACAAAACTAGGATTAAATATAGTACCTAAAACACGTGTTATACATTTGGTTGCTGATTCATTTAATTATCCTGCATATCAACGTCATTTAATAATAGCTAAACGTGAAATAAATGAAAGTGTAGGTCGACATATGCATGGTAGACGAGTATTTGAACCAGAAGGATTACAACCTAAAGTAAAATAAAAAACAAACCAATATTGTTTTTAAATGAATTTTGAAAATAAAAACAAAAATATTTCTTTTTTAAGGTTGGATCATTTCAATTATTTGTTGATAATTATGTTAGTGCAGATGTTTTTCTTAAACAATTAGAACAGAAAGCACTGCCAGAAGAAGTTATGGATAAATTTCAAAAACAATTTGAAAGACTTGTTGTATTAGATTATATTATACGAAATACAGGTAATATTTATATATAATTTTGAATTATAACAGATCATTCATAAATAATTTTACTCTTAGTATTTTCAAACTTTCTCGTCTATTTTTTTGCTTAGTTGAAATAGTTTTTCTTTTTCATAGAAAGATAGCGTTTGAAATTCTATATATGATACAATACAATCAAAAATTTTTTATAAATATATTTGTACAAAAGATTATTTATTAAAACAACAAGCAGATTGCTGCTACGACACGAATATCTTGGGCCGAAATTCCGGCCTCCTATTTTTTAAGGTCCATAAAGATTACTTTAGTAAAAAGACAGTTTATAAATCATTTTCCTAGTCGAAGAATACGCACGTTGACAGTGAAATACGATATCAGAAAGCATTAAAAAGGATCGTTTACGGTTGAATATGGTGTATAAGTGGTCGTTTGTGGCAACATTATGATAATTAACGATGATACGTAATGATTAATTCGGGTTTCGTGCATTCATACCAAAGAATCATTAATCACCGAATCTGCTTGATTTAAATCCGTTAGATTATAGCTTATGGACTTATAGGTATAAGTCGATCACCTAACCTGCCATCGATGGTCACAAAATTTTTAAGATATGGCAACCGTCACAGCCAACGCTCAAGCGATTCAGCTTCGCTACTGCTGATTATTGCGTCGGTCTATACCTCTATATAAAATGAACTGGTTCAAACTACGAATTGGAACCACATAAAAAAACAAATAAAACTTTGCGTCAAGTTGAACAAGAAAAATAATTTACATTCTACACTTGATTTCATTGTACGATTGTGTATGATCCAAAAAATGGAGAAGACTATACACTCGTTAAATAAAGTAAACCAATTCCTGCAGAATTTTAAACGCTAGCTTTTACCTAAAAATGATGTTTCAATCAAACAAAAAAACAGACGAAAAAATACTAGCAATGAAATTATTTGTATCATTGGTTACAGAAAAGCAAACAAATTTTTCATTATGTATGGTCATTGATGAAACAGAATTTATATAGTACGAAAACAAGTTTTTATTATCAATGAAAAAAAAATGTCTCTTTTTTCGAAATTCAACAAGTTCATCATATTATTTTTCTTTGTAAATTTGAGTTTATACTATTCTTAATTTTAATATTAGACAATATTTAATGTCAATGAATATGTCAACCTTGATCATGAAAAAATGATTCTATGCTTTGATATATATATATATATATCAAAATAACACTAATTTATATGTGATAGGGAAAAGAAAAATAATTAAAATTGACAAGAGTTATTTTAATAAATTTTTGTTTTTCTATTTTGTCTACAGATCGTAATACTGATAATTGGTTGGTGAAATATGAAGTAAAACCAAACAACGAACGAGACCGAGTAAGTAAATATACAGCTATCAAATCTATATATGTTATCAAGCACTTAAAAGCTTTTTCTTTTTTCTTCTTTCTTCAAATTAATTTTTGTATTGCTTCAGCTTCTTCAATCACTTTCCGATCCACAGCTTCGACCAGAGCAACAGGTAATAAAAAAAATACAAGTTGAATATCAAATCATTTTAAGTAAAATGGCACCTAGATACCTTTCATTTATTTATACAAAGGATTATTTTTCTAAATAAGTTCTGTTAGCATAGACATATGTAAAAATATTGACTCTTTCAGTTGACGATTAATTAAAAAGTATTTTGAGAATATCATATTTTTTACTGATAATTCCTCTAAATAACGACCTCTAATACTGAGTTATTTTTAGAGTATCTAGAGTCACCTATCATAAATGTAAAATATATAAATTCATTATCTCAAGATACACGTGTTTTAATTTTGTGAAGTCCAATTGTTAATGAATGATTTCACTCACATATATATATTATCTAGACTAATAATAACAAAGAAGGTGATCAGAATACCGATGATACTCAAAATACTGCAATAGATGAAACCACAACAACAACAACAACAAATGATATTCATATAGCAGCTATTGATAATGGTCTTGCATTTCCATTTAAACATCCCGATGAATGGCGTACATATCCATTTCATTGGGCTTGGTTAAAACAAGCTAAAATACCATTTTCTGATGAAATAAAATGTCATGTTTTACCATTTATATCTGATATGAATTTTGTTCAACATGAATTATGTGATGAAATTCAACGTTTATTTTCTCAAGATAAAGATTATGATCGTCGATTAGTTGAACGACAATTATCTATTATGCGTGGACAAATATTAAATTTAGCTCAAGCTATGCGTGATGGAAAATCACCATTTGAATTAGTACAAATGCCAGGTGTTATTGTTGAACGTCGTCATATTGATCCTACAGTTGGTCATCGACAATTTAAGAGAAAATTAAATGATCGTTATCCATTATTTTCTTGGTTTTAAATTTGAAAAGATGAAAAAGAAAAAAAAGAAAAAAACAACGAATCTAATTTTTTTTTTGTTCTTTACTTAGTTGATATCTAATGAAAAGTGTATGTTTCGGTTTAAATTATTTATTTATTTTTCTTAATCGTGCTATATAAATGTTTAAGCAATAATTGAAATTTTTGATAGTTTCAAAATCAAAAAAATTAATTCATTGTTTTGTGAAATAAATAAAAGATTATTTATGTATTATGACAAGTGAATATTATAATAATCCCTGATTGAAAGCACTAACCCGTTCTTCATTGATTAACATGTACTGAAGTTATGATTTACGCGTGTTCTTTTCGTTGTCAAAAAACATATTTACCGAAAAATTTTTTTTTATCATTTTTCTATTCCAAAAACTATTACTACTTTTTCCTAGCACTACAGGCAGTTCTATATGTTTAGCTTAAATCAGTATTCGCTCTTCAGTTGATATTCTTAATGTGAAGACAATATCTCATTGATTTTAAAGTCATTTCTGACTAGACTCATGTTAGAAACAGCTACGACGGCGGAATTCCGAATGAGAGGTTGGACGAAAATATTTGTAATATAAAATGATCATAAGAGGAAGATGATGTCTGAATTATAATTCTAGCACATAAGAACCAATGGAAGGCGAGTTGATGCTTGCGATTAAGGGTTACTATCGCACGCATACATCCAAAATATCAGTTTAATATCATAAAGAATAGTAGGATTTCATGAGGAACTGCTGCTTTTTGTCTAGAACTGTATGTCTAACTTCCTCGATATAGATTTCACTACACAAAAATGCAGAGTGTCCCAAAACTCATTTTACACTTGTCACTGTGCACATTTTGATACATATGAAAATTGTTTTTCATTATTCATAAATCATTATTTATTGTCAAAGACATGCTCGAGATATCTTACAGACAGTAAACAATTATTTATAAATTATAATTAATGAATAATTATATATAATCTTCAATTATGTGCAATGTATACAGCATGAAGTGTAAAATGACTTTTGAGACATCCTGTATACATACTTTCTTTTTCTAGTATATCTACAAATAAATTTTATATAACATTTTCTAACAATAAAATAAAATATTTTGCATAAATTTTTGTTTTATATGACATTTCAATATCTAAAGTGAATCGAAAAAATTCAAGATATTATTTATGTGAAAAGAAAGAAATATAAATGACATATTTTGAGTGCTATATAAAGCTAGACTCAAGATCTATACAAGTCATCTATTCTAGATCTAATTGATTGTAGCATGAAGGAAAAAGAAGGAACTTCAATTCTTTCTCTAGCAAAAACAAAAGTTTATGACACTTTTAGTATTTTAGTGATTATATTATTATCAAAAAAACAGAGACGATTTTCAAAAATATACCATTAGATGCAGAATTGCACGTGCTACATTTTAGTATAAAAGATTTTGAAAAATTCATGACACAGAAAATTTCTATTTCCAGAAAAAACTTAAATGAATTTACTGTTAACTATTCTCCATTGCTTAATTGAATAATTTGCATATTACCATTAATGATTGGCACTTTAAGGTAGTTATTTTAATTTCTTTTTGCCTTCTAAAATAAATTTGAAATAAAATGTTAGCTAGTTCACAATTATAGAAAAAAAACATTGAAAACTGAATAACATTGTGTATTTTTGTTTTCCAATAATTCTTTATAATAGAATTCTTTTTCAAAACATTTTAACTAAAATTCTATTGATAATAAAAAAGATCTTACAATCTTCTGTACAATGTATCAATCATCTGATATAACTCTTTTATCTTTGATCATTAATTTTAACGATGATTTTCAGCTGCTTTTCACTTAATCCATATCTTAATATTTTCAGAGTGTTATATCTGATGATTGAAAGATTTGTTTTGATAAAGCAAAGTGTGCTCTGCAAAATGCAAAATTTTTTAAACAGTGTTATTCAGTTTTCAATGCTCTTTCTAATAGAATATTTGAAAATCAAAGGTGGCTATAAGCTTTTTGCTCCAGAACGAGATATGTATAGGTTTGTAGAGGAAAACTTCCTCTGCCTAATGATATATGTACTATAAAATTCTCATATATCCTATTCTTAAGTTATAAATTACTACAAAACTTATAATGGTCTTTGTAACAAAAATATTCCTCTACGTAGTAAATAATAATTGGTCAAAATTTTTCATACTAAAATGTAGGACGTGCAATTCTGCATCTAATGGTATATTTTTTATAATGATATAATTGGTAAAATACTAAAAGTGTTATAAACTTTTGTTTGCTAGAGAAAGAATTGAAATTCCTTTTTTTTTCCTTCATGCTACACTCAATTAGATCTAGAATATATGGGTTGTATAGATCTTGATTCTAGCTTTATACAGCACTCAAAATATATCATTTACCTCCTTGCATTTCAAAAAAGACAGGGCAGTAAAAAGTGTCTGAAACTTCTGTGGTTCATTTTATATATGAGTTACATTTTTGACGAATTTTTTTATTTTGTCCGATAGATAAATATTGAATCTTAAAAATAGAAAGTCAATCTATTCACAATAGATTCTCATTTTTAAGAAATCTTCTTCTCCTTCCTTCCCTCTATTTTATACTGTGTTTATTTGAATTTCCATATTTAAAGAAATGATGTTATTGTATGGTTGTAAATAAAGATTCTTTTTTTTTATATCATGAAAATTCTATTGATTAATTTAATCTGAAAATAAGTACTATTAAAAAAAAATAATTGTTTTTCTCTCGATTTTATTAAATAATTTTGATTTTTATATTAAAGAAAACTCTTTTAATTTATTTATATATCAAAGATTTAGTGTTAACCGACGAAGTTTTTCTTGATGATGAAACAAAAAAAAAAGAGCAATTTAAATATTCAATATAATGAATCAATTTTATTTTTATATAGATTTAGTCATATATAGCGGGTCCCAAAATTGTTCAACAAGATGTAATTTGGATTTTTTTTCGTAGCCTTAGGTGCTAGAAAGAATTCAAATAGTGATTTGAATGGAGAATATTGTTGCCAACAAGAATTTGACAAAATGATAACCATCATGAATTTTTCCAAAGTAGGGTTTCTGGAAAACCTAAATCCTAATTTTTCAACGTCCAAAAGCCACAACAGAAAACTTTTTTAACAGTCTAGAATTATAGAGTAGCCAATTCTCTGCAAAATAAGACGTCTTCGAGCTTTCTACGACCTTCTCTCCAAAAGTTATAAGCATCACAAAAATCGAAAAAATGCATTTTTTAGTCGATTTTCCCATAAATTTCACTTTTGCTCGATTTTTGTGATGCTTATAGCTTTTGAATGGAAGGTCGTAGAAAGCTTGAAGACGTCTTATTTTGTAGAGAATTGGCTGCTCTATAATTCTAGACTGTTAAAACAAGTTTTCTGTTACGAGTTCTGGATGTTGGAAAAGCAGGGTTTTGGTTTTCCAGAAACCCTACTTTGGGATAATTCACGATAGTTATCATTTTGTCGAATTCTTGTTGGCAACAATATTCTCTATTCAAATCACTATTTGGATTCTTTCTAGCACTTAAGACTATGAAAAAAAATCCAAATTACATCTTGTTAAACAATTTTGGGACCCACTATATATGCTTTTCTCTAAGATTAATAAATCAATAGGCAAAATATTTAGAATCAGAAAAGTTTTAAATAATACACTTATTTTATACTATAACTTGAAGTGAAGACAATGTTGTTTTGATCTTTGAAGGACAAGCATTTACATGGAAAAACAATGATATTTGATCACACAAAAATTTATTGATTATTGGATGATGGAAATTTTGCTTCAGATACTCGCGACAGACGGATCAATTGTTATTTGTTATTAATCAAATGAACTCTTACAGTTTCAGATAATATTGTATGATGACAAAATAGATGAACATTTTCTAATAAATTATTTAATTTTATCTGCATTTAGAAATAAAGAAGTAAAAATTTGAGTTGTTTCTACTGGTATAATCGCATTCACTCACTTGATAATTTTCTCTTATAATTTAATTTTATATATAAATTCTAGAATTTATTTATCGAATACAAACGTAAAAACTAATCAAGTTATTTGTCTTTGGTCAAAAAAAAAATATTTTTTTCAATTTCACATTCGAATCACATTACTCATCTTGATAATAATGGATAAATAAACCGTGTCGATTTATTTGAATAAATTCGTTTTTTTATTTATATCACATATGTAATTTAAAAGAGAAAATTATCATCAGGTCATAATCAGAATATTACGACGTTAATTGTTACGCTCGATAAAATCAAGGTACAAAAATTTCGTACTAATACTCATGTCAGATTTATTGTTCATTAAAATATAGATAAATGAGATAGAAATAATATTAATATTGATTATCATACAAATTAAGTGTAATCATTAGTAAATAATTCCTATGATTAAACATTTTTAATCGATTTTCGTCTATTAAATTCATTGTGAGATTTATATGTGTAAATATATTCATTGTGATAGTTCAAAGTGAGGGCTGGACGATATCCCCCAAAATCGAGAAATTGCTCCACTTACAGCAGAAATCCTTTACCCCACACAAAGTCAAGCAGAAACGCTTTCCATACTGACCTTTTCGATTAAAAACGCATCAACCACATTCATCCTCACAAGCAGAAATGTATAAGATATCAGGACAAATCGTTCAGATCATTCTTACATTATAAGGAGAAATGAATAAATCAATTTTTTCACTTTAAGGAGAACTTCTAGTAGAAATAGATTTTCTCCAGCAGAAATATAAAATTTTTCAACAGAAATCCATAATCCATTTCTACCCTCACAAGGAGAAATCGATAAACTTATTCTTACATTATAAGGAGAAATTAATAAATTTATTTTTTCACTTTAAGGAGGAATTCTAGTAGAAATGGATTTTCTCCAGCAGAAATACAAAATTGTTCAACAGAAACCCATAATCCATTTCTACCCTCACAAGGA